CAGTGAAGGAAACCAATAGCTTTAATGTAATTAGTTTTTCAATGGTATTTGGCAAGGTTGCATGCCAAAATTCTTTCCATAGCTAGAAGGTAATTGCATTACTGTGGTTTTGCACTGAATGCTTTGTCATGCATAGGAGCCAGGTTAGGGAAAGAACAATATTTCCAAGGATAAACGTGCAGTTTACTCGATGGAGAATTGTGAACAGCAGTGTCTCATAGAGATCGGCTCTGGAAGGGTCTTTGCTTGTATTTTTTAATTAAAAATCTGGAAAAGGAAGTGCGTAGTGAAAATTCCAAGGCTACAGGGACTTTTGGGTGATAAATTAAGTGAATTTATCTGTTTTTGCTTTGGTTCCTGTCTTAGTTTCCTATTGCTGCTGTAACAGAACCACCACAAGTGGGTGGCTTTAAAGAACAGGAATTTATTGTTGCACAGTTCGGGAAGCCAGGAGTCCAAATTTAGAGTATCGGCAGGGCTGTACTCTCTCTGTTGGAGATAGGGGAAGATCCTTGTCTCTTCAGCTTCTGTAGCTCCCGGCATTCTTTGGCGTTCCTTGGCTTGTAGATGGATCTTCACATGGTCTTTCCCCACTGTGTGTGTGTCTCTGTGTCTGTTTTCCCTTCTTATAAGACACCACTGAGAAGAGATTAGGTCTAGGACCCACCCTACTCCAGGATGGCCTCATTAACATAACAAAAGAAAACCCTATTTACAATCAGGGTCACATTCAGACCTACAGGAGTTAGGACATCAACATATTTTTTGGGGGGGACACAATTTCAATCCATAACAGTTCCCCAGTCATTGCTAGCGATCAGCATTTTGTTAGCCTGTCTGTCACAGCTTAACATTCAAGTGATTTCCTCCATTCAGTACATATCTATCGCGTGCCTATTATGTGCCACGTGCTGTGCTGGGCATAGGCATGTATCATACATATTGTTAATACACTTTACAAAAATGGGACCATATGGTTCTTCCACTTATTTTAGTTTATGACGTATTTTATAAATCACTGCATAAAGAGCTACCTCGTTCTTTTAACGTCTGCATGACAGCACTTCCCTAATGTCTGCATGGCAGTGCTTCCCCATGAAATGACTACAATAATTGAGTTAACCAGTCCCTTCTTGTTAGACATTTCAGGTATTTCCAGATTACAAATAATGTAAAAATACAGTCTTGAATATTGTTGTATTCATTATTTGCTCACATGGACAAGTATTTCTGAGGACAGCCGCCAAATGGGAAATTACTAGGTCAGGGGATATAGTCATTTAAAAATTCTTGATACCAATCAATTGTCTGCCAAAAAAAAAAAAAATCTAGTTAAAAAAAAAATCATGCCCAAAGCATGTGGCAATGCCCATTTCCTCAAACTCTACTAGCATCGGACATTGCGTTAGTATCCTATTGTTGCTGTAACAAAATACCACAGATTTAGTGGCTCTCAACAACACAAATTTATCTTGTAGTTTCGTAAGTCAGAAGTCTGATGTGGGTCTCACTGGGCTAAAATCAAGGTATCAGAAGAACTGCATTCCTGTCTGGAGGCTCTAGCGAAGAGTCCATTTTCTTGGCTCTTCCAGCTTCTAGAGGCTCCTTGTCTCCTTCCATCTTCAAAGCTTGCAACGACCAGTCAATATTTCTCACGCTACATCACTCTGACCTCCTCTTTGACCTCCTCCTTCTATATTTAATCACCCTTGTGATGACATAGGTTCCTGGGTGGCGCAAATGGTTTGTTCTCAACTACTAACCTAAAGGTTGACGGTTCAAACTCACCCAGCAGCGCTGCATGAGAAAGGCTTTGCAGTCTGCTTCCATAGAGATTATATACAAGAAAATCCTATGGAGCAGTTCTACACATGGGGTCGCCATGTGTCAGAGCCAACTCAGTGGTAATGGGTTTGGTTTTTGTTATTTTTGGTTGTGATTACATGGGACCACCTGGATAAACCAGGATAACCCCCCATCTCAAGATCCTTAATTTAATCATAACTGCAAAGTCCCTTTTGCCATGTAAGGTAATATATTCACAGGTTCCAGGGATTAGGATGTGGACATTTTGGGTGGCCATTATTCTGTCTACCACAGGTATTATCAACCTTTTTAATTTTTGACATTCTAAGTGAAAAGATGGTATCCTGCTCTTCTAAATAACATTTCCTTGATTACTAGTGAGGTCCAGAGTCTTTTTCTATGCATCGAGGCAAGAAAATGTCTGCTTCTGTGACTTGTCTGCTGATAACCTTTGTCTCCTTTTCTGCTGGGTGGCCTTTCCTCCCCCCGCCCCGCCCCTCCGCCCCCACCAATTGAATTGTAAGAGATTGCATATTCCTAGAGGGAAGGAACTTTCTCATAGTCACTTTTGTGTCCCCGTGGCTTGCATATGGCCAGGTGTAGACAAGGAATTCAGTGACTGTTGGCCCTTCTTTACTCCTTAATGTCATCCCTCCCGACCCCATTCTCTTGCTATTCTATTTTGGAAGAAATATCTGGAAGCTTCTGCCTGTAACTTCCTGTAGAGCTGCCTGAGTAGAGTCTGTAGGTAGGAGGGTGTGGCTAGCCGAGACAAGGAGTGTCTTGTGTTTGGCTTATAGCCTCTCAGACTTTCATGCCTTTATGGGCTGTGGGGTCAAACAGACCCAGTGTCAGGCCCTGCTCCGCTCAGCCCCTTATCCTGGAACATCATCTAACCCTCTGAGCCTCCGTTTTCTCATCTGTGAAGACAGTGATGGTGCCATAGCTGACGTTCTAGGGTTGGTGTAAAAGTAACAGGAATGAAACTGTCAACTCCTACTATTGAGAAGAATCCTGTTTGCACAGCTGCTGTACCTCATGGTGTTGATCAAGGCTGTGGGCAGAGCTTCGGGAAGGAGGCAGCTGCTGAGCTGTGATGGGGAGACACAGATAAGAGTAGTTTGGGGCCATTTTTCAGGGTGCCAGGCAATGTGATCTCCTTTGACATTTTTCAGAAATTTACAGTAAAGATTTAAATGACTTATCAGTTATTTAGGGGTGTCAGACTTTGTCTCTTCTGAAGAGGGCCCTGGTAAGCACAGAGCCTAGAATATGCAGGTGACTGGTACATGCCAAGAAGCAGAGACTTTGCCAAGTTGTCCTCTTCCCTGCCATCCTTCAGATGGGGTTGTGGGAAGACTGGTGTTCAGTGGGATTGATGGTGCCAGGAGCTTCCTGGGTGGTGAGCTTTGCCTGGTAGGCAGGCCTGAGGTCTCATGGCTCACACTCTGACAGGTACCAGGCTGAGGATTGGTGTCAGGTCTGGGTGTGCACCAGGGCCATGCAGAGGCCAAGGCTGCAGCCACTCTGAACCAAACAACATCCTCTCTAGCCCTGCAGTGTTGGCCAGGGGACACTGAGACCTGAACAGTGACACCAGCCACTTCCCAATGATAGACCCCAGTTCCCTGGAGCTCCTGGCCAGGGCCTGCCTGCTGATCCCCAGGCCTACACACATGCTATGGAACCCAGTCGTTCCAGTCTGTACCCATCACCATGGCTGCCTCAGCTCACAGCACAGAGGGTGTCCAGCCTTGGCCAGTTAGGTGGAGGCCTGCCCACCCAGACCTTTCTGGGTCAAGCCCCATAGGCGCTTTCAAGATGGAGTGTGCCACCTCCCTCCCCCAGGACCCTGACTCAGAAGACGCTTTCTCACCTGCCTGGCTCTGACTACCACATCCAGAGCCCGGAGCCCACTCTGCTCAAGGGCTGGTGGGAAGAGTCCATTCTACCATGAACTAGCACCAGAACCTAGGGGAATCACTTGGCCTCTCTGAGCCTGCTTCCAAGTTGGCAATATGGGGAAGGTGATCCCTATCTCTAGGTCCCTGAGTGGCGTAAATGGTTTGCGCTCGTTTACTAACCTAAAGGTTATTGGTTCAAACCTACCCAGCTGCACCATAGAAGAAAGCCCTGGCGATTTGCTTTCATAAAGATTACAGCCAAGAAAACCCTATGGGGCAGTTCTACTCCATAACACATGAGGTCACCATGAGTTGGAATTGACTCGACGGCAGTGGGTTTGGTTTGTTTGGTTTTAAGTCCCTACCTGCTACCTGCTGGGAGGAGTCACTGAGATCACAAGCACCAGCACCACGTCGGGTTCAGTTATTGGTTGTTCTTGTCATGTTTCCTCCTCTTCTCCTGCCCTTGTTTCCCTGCCTTAGAGCTGCTGGTCCCTAGGCCTGCTAGCGTGATGCAGGGCCACATCTAGCTCTGCTCTTCTCTCTGGCCTCAGGGATGATTGAATTCCCTCCATCCCTCCTTCCGTTTCTTCAGCCAGCCAGGCAGAGCTGGTAGCCATAAGGAGAAGGTACCTGGGCTGGGGTGGCTGAATCCCAGCCACCCCAAGCTGGCAGCTGCCTTTGCTTCATGGCCAGGGACCTAGACCAGGCCCTGAGGAGGGCTGCCCATGATGGGCTGCCGTCACAAGGGTGGGCCGCTGGCCTATGCAGCCTCTGCAGACTCTAACTTCCCCTCCCAGTCAGCAGATGCTGGTTGGGCCTGGACTGCGGGCCTTCCTGTGCAGTCTTGCCAGCCTGCAGCTCATTAGCACTTTTTATTAAATCCATCTGCTATGTGTCGAAGACTAGCTCTGGAGTCTGTGTGCTCCCGCCCTGGGTGTGTGTATATGGGGGGAGACTGCACACAGACATGATTGTGTGGTTTAGGGTTGAGTTTGAGAGTGAGAAAGCCAGGCCTTGCTCTGGGTGGGAGTGAGATGCGCTAGCAGTGAGCTGGCCTTTGAGGCTGGTACCTATGCAGGGCTCAGCAGTGGGGGAAGTCTGGAGACCTTCCCTGAGCCTCCTGAGCCTGTGTGGTCAAGATGGGGGAATAAAGTGGGGCTCTTCCTTGCCAGGGCACATGAGTTTGCTGATCTGCATTCCATGTGCTGCCCACAGACCTTAGGGTCTGCCCCTTGGAATGGAAGCCAGTGAGACGCACTGGCCAAACTGCCCCCCTCCTTCCCCCAGGAGTGCATCATTGACGAGGACTGTGGGCCGGGCAGGTACTGCCAGTTTGCCAGCTTCGAGTATACCTGCCAGCCATGCCGGGACCAGCAGACAGTGAGTGTGCTCAGAGGCATCTGGGGCTGCAGCGCCCAGAAAAGGAGGTCTGGGGGGAAGGCCAGGGGACCCAAAGGGTCCTTAGCCATGCTTCTTGGAAGCCTCCTTTGGGTCCCATCAGGTCCGCACTTGGAAGGGCCTCTCAGTAATAGGAGGGGGCTTTGTCAGGAGACGCTCCCAATGGGTCTGGCTCCTGGAGTGCTGGAGGTCACCCCAGAGTCTGGGACCTCAAGGAGTCATCTGCAGGCCTGTTGCTGCCCCGCCCCACCCCACAATTGCTGGTGACATTGGCTGCCCCAGCAGTGCGGAGAGGGGAATGGAAGAGCAGGCCATGCACTGTCCTTCCCTTCAGGAAGACCCTCCTAGGAGACCCAGCCAGAGACACCTGGGCAGCCAGGGCGGGGGGTGGAAAAGGGTGGTCTGTCCCTCTCCAGCTTCTGCCTCCTCCAGCCCCTGCAGTCCACCCAGTACCTGTAACTTTTCTAAAGAAAGGCTTGAGTCTTGTGGCCAAGCTCTCCTCTGCCCCCATGACAGCCCGGCTACTTCGCCTAGGATCTCAGTTTCCTCCTCTCTACACGGGGAGCATGCGGGCTCCACCACTGACAGGGGGCCTGGGGCTCCCCGCCCTCCTTTTCCCACCTCCACGCAGCTCTGCGCCCGAGACAGTGAGTGCTGCGGAGACCAGCTGTGTGCCTGGGGCCACTGCTCCGAAACAGCCACCAGAGGTGGCAACGGGACCATCTGTGACAACCAGAGGGACTGCCAGCCCGGGCTGTGCTGTGCCTTCCAGAGAGGTGGGTGGACTCCCTTCTGGTCCAAGGGAAGCCCTGTCTGGAGCTCCACCACACGCCTGGGGCCACAGCCACGCCACCCACGTCTTTGCAGGGTCCTGCTTCCTAGGTGGCCTCCAGAGGCTCCCGAAGAATGTGCCCCAGCCCCAGGAGCTTTGCCTGGGTGCGGACCACCCCCCACCCTGGGGGAAGACCTCACTGTTTTTGCCTTGTTGATGCCTAAGCCATTGCCGTTGAGTCAGTTCTGACTCATAGCGACCTGTGATGTTGATGCCTAGAATAGTTAAATTTCTGGCGAATGCATGGGCCCAGGGAAGGAGGAGCACCCTCGTGGGTGGTGGGATGCTCTTGGGATTAGAACAGCCCCTCCGCCACCCCACCCACCACATTCCCCAGACTCGGAGGATCGTACCTGGCCCCGTGGTTTTTCTTGTGCCTCACTCTGCTCCACTCCCACTTCCCATTCTCACAGCCCTTCCCGGGTGAGGTCTGGTCAGGCTTTCTCCCCCTCCCACCTGTGTTTCTGAATACTTTTCCTCACTGCCTCCCCAGCTCCTGTCTCCCCAGCCCCACTGGTCCACCAGTCCCTGCTGACTCAGTAGTTTTCCTACAGGATAACGTTCTGGTGATTGCTCCTCTGCAGGAGCTCCTGCTTTCTCCCACTTTAGTCAGTCTGTCTGGCTTACACATCCCTCATGAGCCCTAACTTACCTGTCCTCCTTTACTCTCCCGCTACTTCTCTGTTTGTTCCAACTTTTCCCATTGAACCAGACCCCCAGGCCTTTGTAGGGGCAGTCCCCAGGCCTTGAATGCCTGTGCTCCACTCTTTACTTTCTGCAGAGTTCTTTAGCCCTCAAAACCCCACACAAGCCTCACCTCTTCCAGGCAGTCCTACTTAACTGCTCTGGCCTCCTAGATTGTTCTCACCTGAGCTTATGCTGCCGCTCCTGTTTCCTCATGTCCCACCTCTGGGATCCTAACCTACAGTTTGGGGTTGAGGGAGGGAGGTGGGACTGCACCCCATTTTTCTGCTCCCTGTCCTTGGTGCCTGCCTACCTCGTGCTGGGCATGCGGGGTGACTCTTGCTGGTTCCAGGACTGTTGTTTCCTGTGTGTACACCCCTGCCTGTGGAGGGCGAGCTCTGCCACGACCCCACCAGTCGGCTTCTGGACCTCATCACCTGGGAGCTGGAGCCTGACGGGGCGTTGGACCGATGCCCATGTGCCAGTGGCCTCCTCTGCCAGCCCCACAGGTGAGGGGTGCCGAGAGAGGATGAGGTGCCATCCAGGGGAGTGGGGGCTGAGGAGCTGAGGCAGGATTTGCCTGGGAAGTATGTGAATTCAGTTTAGGATAGGTTTAATTTGAGGTGTCCCTGGGTCACCCAGATGAAGAGGTCCAGTCAGTAGTCAGACATGTAGGTCTGCAGCTGAGAAGAAGGTCTGGACAGAAAGTAAGATTTGGCACTCATGTAGATAGCAGCTAAGGCCTGAGAGTGCACGAGTGAATGGCCCAAGAAGAAGGTATAAAGGGAGAAGAGCTGAGGGCTAAGGACAGAGTCCAGGCCCATCAACTCTGAAGGACAAGCCAAGGAGGGAGCTGGCAAAGGAGACTGAAAAGGCAAAGTCAGAGAAGTAGGAGGAAAACCAGGAGCAGGAGCCACAAAGGTGGAGGGCACCACCAACACTCTCAAAGGCTGCCGAGAGACTGCAGCATCAGGGCTGAGAAATTTCCAGTTTTCCAGTGCACATGTTACTGGGCTGGTCAGCAGCTTCTACTTAACCTTCCCTGAAGGTAGAATCCAGAGTGGCTGGGAAGATGGACAGAACTTCCCCTCCCAGCCCCTGCAGAGGTCTGGGGCTCCCAACACGGGCATCTGACGTGGCAGTTAGGCTATGTCCTGCTGTCAGGGGCTGTCTTCTGTCCAGAGGTCCAGATGGGCAGGGGGCTTAGAAGGGCGTAGTGTTACTGTAAATTCTCAGGCCCCAGGGTCTGTAGGGCCTGCCCTTGGGATGCTGAGCCCGAGAGAGTCCGTTGCAGAAGCCAGGCCTGCAGCTACAGGTGGGGAAGGAGGGGAGCTGCCCTTGAGATCTTTTTTTAAGACGGGTTGTTGACAAGAAGTTAAGACTCTGTTAAAGAGATGTTAGAGGAGGCGATGTGAAAGCAACACCATGAGACCCACAGAGACAGTGACCACTCTGCTGCCTCATGCCCAGGCTCCTTCCCTCAAGTTTAGAGCCCGGCTTTGTCCCCATGGGAAGACATGGCCCTCAGATGAACCACAGCTCTGTCTCTCCCTAGCCACAGCCTAGTGTACGTGTGTAAGCCAGCCTTTGTTGGGAGCCACGATGATGACGGAGAGAGCTTGCTGCCCAGAGAGGCCCTGGATGAGTACGAGGATGGTGGCTTCATTGAGGAAGTACGCAAGGAGCTGGAGAACCTGGAGAGGAATCTATCTGAGGAAATGGTGCCCAGGGGGCCTGATGTAGCCTCTGAGCTGCTGGATGGAGAAGAGATTTAGATCCAGACCTGTTCTGCGGGTAGATGTGCAATAGAAATAGCTAATTTATTTCCCCAAGTGTGTGTCCTCTAGGTGTGGACTGACCAGCCTTCTTCCCATTTCTTCTTCCCAGTAGATTTTCCTTCTGGCTTGAAACATCTGCCTTGACAAAATGAGGTGCTGTGCATTTGTCCAGCCCCCATTCCCCTGAACTGTACACCACCATCACCATTCTGATGCTTGGGGAAGGACGGGGTTGTGGGAGGATGAGGGTTCTGGGGTGAGGGCAAAATGGGCTTCTAGACTTGGTCTAAACCATTGGCCACTTCACCTGCAGTGGTTGGCAGATGGCACATTTTCTTCACTGTCACTTTGAAAATTGTTTGAGGGAAGGGGATGAAGAAGGCTGTGGAGTCTCCCCACGATGGGTTTTGGAGAAATGTTGACTCCTGTACACATGGAGAAGAGTGCCCTGCTCTGCAAACATAAACCTGGTGAAAATGTAACAAATGAAGTTTTTGCGTAGCTCTTTCCATTGGCATCGCCAAGCTGCGCCCTTCGCTACTGCGGATCAAATGTTCTGCTCACTCTGCGTTCCATGGATTCACTCATTCAGCAGTTTCACTCGGCTCCTACCTAGTGGCACTCACTCAGCATTTTCACATCTGTGACCAGCTGACACTCTCATCACAGTCTGGGAGGGAGACATTATTCTCCCCATTGGTCAGGGACCTCAGAGGCTCAAAGACTTTGTTTCTAGCCTGCGTCACATAGCTAGTGAAAACCAGGACAGGATTTCATCCGGGTGAGACTCCAAGTCCAGTGCTCTCTCCCTGACTCCATACTGCCTCTGTGCCACCAAAAGTTCCCCCAAAAAGGAAGGAGGAGGGGATTTTGTTTGTTTGTTTGAGGCACATCTGGGATTAAGGTCAAACTAGTTCACGCATCCCTATAAGATTAAACTTCTACTGTTAGACATAGCAGTGTTCTTGCCAGTGTGGAGACGACCATCATTCTAGTGAAGACAAATGGCATTGACACTGTCCCCTGTGGCAGTTACATTAGTAACTTTGAAGGTACATGATTGGAGCATACTGTGTAAATTAACTTGCCAGGAGCAGTACCTGGGCAATTATAGGGCCAGGATTATAAATGAAATTTGCAAAATCACTTAGCAGCAACTGAAGACCATAAGCAACCACATGGAGAAAATCATACCAACAAGGCTCTATGAAATATGGTTGTAATATCCAAACTGAGAACACTGAACTGTATGCTGTTCCACAAATGATATTTTCAGGTGCCATGGACTGTTTCCATCGTGTATTCACAGAGTCATTAAATTTTGAAGTTGCACACGATTGTATAAGCATGCTTTCTTTGAGTTTTAAAATTATGTATAAACACAAATTGCATTTAGAAATCGAGCATAAATCACTTCAACTACTCTTCTGCAGTTCTTGGACTTCTTTCTTCCTTTTGACTTTTAATATACATAAAACCTTTTTTAACCAGGAAAAACAGAATAACCTGCATTGTCAAAAAATAATAATAATAATACTCAAAACAATGTATCTAAAAAAAAAATTTCTGTATGGGAGACTAACTTGAAATGTAAACTTCATTTAATTACAACAATTAAAAAAAAGAAAAAAGGGATGGCAGAAGGGTTAGAAATTAAAAAGAAAAGATTAAGGAAATAGAATGTATGTAGCAGAATCTTAGGGAAATGTTTTAAGCTAATCAACCAGATACGAAAATAAAAAAATAATAGTAATCTCTTCCAAATCAGTAAATTTTCAAGACAACTGAAGCACACTTCTTTTGGTATAAAAAATATTCTAAAAATATTAACCACTTTGGATGGGACTTAATCGTAAGTGTGCAAATGCTTCATTGAGAGTAAATGGAATATATATGACCCTTTTCTTGGGAGCTTTCTTTAATCAAATGGAACTCCGGGCCATAACACAATAAGACCTTCAAGGGCTATAATCACAAAACCTACTATATGTTAAAAGTCAACTGAGTGGCAGGCACCAGATTAGGCACTCTACCTATATTAGCTCATTTAATCTTCATTGAATTCCATGAGTATTTTCTCCATTTAACAGATGAAAAAAATGGAGGTTCAGAAACATTAAGTACTAGAGCTGGAAGTCATACAAAAGTAGCATCTAGTACAATATGCCCAGGATATATTTCTTTTCTTAAATAATTTATTTTGTTTTTTGTTGTTGAGAATATACAGAGCAGAACATATGTCAACTCAACACTTCCTACATGTACAGTGACAGCAATTACATTTTTCAAGTTGTGCAACCATTTTCACCCTCCTTTTCCAAATTGTTCCTCCCCCATTAACATAAACTCACTGCCCCCTAAGTTTTCTATCTAATTTTTCAAGTGCTGTTGTCAATTTGATCCTGTATAGCTCTTAAAGAAAGCACAATGCTTAAGGCAGACATTCTTTACTAGTTAGGCTAAACTATTGTTTAGTTTTAAGATGACTTCAGGGGGTATTTTTGGATTAAAGTTTATCTCAGGGCAATAGTTTCAGGTTCATCCAGCCTTATGTCTCCAGAAAATCTGGCTCTATGAGAATTTGAAATTCTGTCCTGCATTTTCCCCCTTTTGATCAGAATTCTTCTATAGAATCTTTGATCAAAGCATTCAGTAATGGTAGCCGGGCACCGTCTAGTTCTTCTGGTCTTATGGCAAAGGAGGCAGTTGCTCATGGAGGCAATTAGTCACACATTCCATTTCCTCCTCCTGTTTCTGACTCTCCTTCTTCTCTGTTGCTCCAGGCAAGTAGCAACCAATTGTTGTACCTTGGAAGCTTTTAAGACCCCAGTACTACGCAACAAGCTAGGAAATAGAAGAGAAGCACTAAACACGATATTAGGCCAATTAACTGGGTATAGTGCTTATTTTAAGATCAAATATGGAACAGTTCTGTGCCCGATTTTAAAAATTACCTGGACCACTCTACCTCCTTACTTCGTTTATTCACTCAACAGGCATTTACTGTGAGCCTGCTCAGCGCCAGGTACTGTGATAGGCTCTGGTGGTACAAGGTTTTCCCAGACAGGGTCCCTGCTCTGAAGGCACTCATGGGCAAACGATGGAGATACAGCTAAACCAAGCAATACCAGATCAGAGGCAATATCAGAACAGAATGTGTGGGCGCCTCAAAGGAACTTGTGGCTTGGGAGAGCTAACGTGCACTGGCTCTTGAAGGAGGATAGGAGTTTATCAGGGGGCCAGAAGGAATAGGGAAGAGCATTCTGGGCCATGGGCAGAGGTAGAGAGGCAAGAGAGAGTGCCATATGGGGAAAACTGCAAGTAATTAGTAGTGGCTGGAGAACTAGTTAAATTTGGGAAGAGGCTGAAAATTACTTCAACAAAAATGTTATGAGAACCTACTTTGCATCAGGCCCTAATGTTAGGTGCCAGGGAGACAGTGGTGAATGATAAAACTAGGTCCCTATGGAGCTTATATGCAATTATATTATCCTGCCTCAGTTTTGTCACCATAGCCACAAACATATAAGAACATGAAAACAAAGTGTTTGCAAAAACACTTTGCTGAAATCCAGATATAGAGCAGCTGGTGTATCTATCTCCTCTGCTCACAATTTTAAACGTGTTAAGAGGATTCAAGGTGGAGTTTGGTACCTGACTCTTACTGTTTTCCCTTCTCCCAGATTCAGAGTTCCCTGCCAAGGTTTGGTTACCCAACAGCAGTTCTCGACCCTCTTTTCCTTTCCCTTCTCCCAGAACCACAGAGGCTAGAAAAGCCAGACACTTGCTACCCCAGCCTCCCTTCCAGCTAGGGACCTAGTTCTGGCTGAGATGTAAGGGGAAGACTGCCAGAGTTAGTGGGATTTTTTTTTCCCTGCCTGATGAAAGAGGTATACAAGAAGGAAGCCCCTGCCCTGCACCCTTTCCCTTGTTTTCTGCCTTTGAGTACAGGAATTTTGGGATGTGGTAGCCACCTTGTAATCATGTGCAACAAGCCTATCAGGATGGCAGCATGATGGTGTATTGGTTTCCTATTGCTGCTGTAACAAATTACCACAAATTTAGTAGTTTAAACAATGCAAATTTATTATCTTAACTGTTCTATAGGTTGGAAGTCCAACAGGGATAAAATCAAGGAGTCAGCAGGACTGCATTCCTTTCTTGAGGCTCTAGGGGAGAATCCATTTCCTTCCTTTAGTTTCTAGAGGTTACCCACTTTCCTTGACTGGTGGCCCCTTCACAGCCAGCAACCACAGGTTGAATCCTTCTCATGCTGCCCTATCTCTGGCTCTGTACAGCTGGGAAAGTTTCCCAGACTTTAAGGACCCATGTGATTAGATTGGGCCCACCTGGGTAATCCAGAATACTCTTCCCATGTCAAGGTGCTTAATCTGTGAAGTCCCTTTTGCCATGTAAGGTAAATATTCACAGGTTCTGGGAATTAGGATATGGACACCTTTGGGGGACCATTATTCTGCCTACCACAGAATGATAAGAATCTAGGTCCTTGATGACTTCGACGAGGAAACCAATCCTGGTACCAACTGTATCTGGGCTCCTTTTTTAAGGAAGCCACCATTACTATAAAGGTGCCGTTAACCTTTTTGTATTTAAGCCAAAAGCATTCCCAACTGGTATAGAAGCTATTTGCAAAATGAACAATAGCCAAAGGGGGAACAAAGTACAGCTTTATTAATCCCAGCCCACCCATTTCCCATTCCCCAGTGTAGAGCGCTGGAAAAGGCAGATTAGAAAATGAAATGTTTGGGTGGGTAGTGCAGGCTCTGGGTCTGTTTCCCAACCATCTGCACAGACAAGAAGGGCTGGCCTGCCTACCCACACAGCCTCAGAATGAACAGGAAGAGGACTATGTTGGGGCAGAAATGATGGCTGCCGAATTTCCCAGCCTCTCCTGTGCCCGCTGTTTCTTCGCCTCCTGGTTTCTCATCCCCTTACCTCCCCAGAAGGATCCTGTCTCACTAGACTGTTTCTTTGGGCATTTGACGCAGAGTTGGAAGAAAGGGAGCAGGGGCAGAAGGATGACAGTTGAAGAGAGAAGCAAGGGGGCTGCTGTGGTGTGAGGAAAGAGGGTGGGGTGGGATGAGGAAAAGGGTGTTAAGTGGACTCCCTTCCAAATAGTCAAGAAATGCAACTAAAGAATATAAATTGTTTTGAAATTACTTTTTGATAGTTAGACTGGGTTTCTAAGTTTAAGGGGTCAACAGCTGTTGAGCTCGGCACCTTCCACTTCAACAGAAGCAGCACTACCACGACCCTACATAAAGAAGACTGGGGGTTGGCGTGTTAGGAAATCACCTTTTGGGAGACTGCAGTGATTGGGAAATGAATATTCCCCTTCCTTACTTCCCATGAGCAGAAATCAGACTTGTTCCCTTGACTGAAACCTACAAGGAGAACTTTAAGAGAAACATTTCATAAAATGTGCATGGGAGCTGTGGGGGATGGCTGTGAGTAAGCTGCGGGCCCTGATGACTCGCCACCTATCTAGCAGAGAAGGAGCACCGGGGAGAGGCGGCTTGTTGGGGTGGCCAGGCAGAGGGGAAAGGACTACACCTTTGAGTCCCCAGTGGTTCCTGAGAGGCAAAGAAAATGGATTCTGACAGTACCCACATGGAGGAAAGATGTAGTGGTTGAAGACTTGTTAGGGCCCACTGCAGCATGGGACAAAGTGGTGGAACACGTTTAGGAGGAATGTGGTGTGATTCTGCCAGCAGGAGTTTGAGCAAAGGATATAAGGGACCACCAGTACTGTTTGGAGTTGCAGCTTTTGCCTGCAGGACCGGTGAGGAATCTACAAGTTTACAGTAGTGACCAGGAGAAAGGCAACAGTAACCTCACCACCACCAATGCTGCTCATAAAAGTGAGTTTTCCCCCTCATCCTTTTTTCTTAACCATCAGTAAAGCTGGTGCAGGAAGAGGAGGCAGAGAGAGCCACTGACCACACCTGAGCTGCACATCTAACCAGCACTGTGTGGGGGAGTGAGGGGAGCTCTTAATCAAACAACTGAAACTTGAACAAGAGCAGATTGTTTTAATAAGGCAGTGTGACTTGAAAGTTATAAGCCTGCATGGAGAGCTTGATAAGAGCCCATTTCCCAGTGGGAAATTGCATTTGACAATACAGTTGGCAGTTACTGGAAAAACAGACCCACTGCATATTTATATCTCAAGTTGATACTCTTCAAGTGGGTTACTTAAGCATTATTTTAAAAGACTCAAAATTAAGTGTACCTTCTGGGGAGGTGAAGCTTGGAAGCAAAAAAAGGAGAAGGGGGAGCTTGGTTCCCACCTTTAGGGCAAGGTTACAGGGTCCACAAATAATTCATGGCCTAGTGAATTCTTAGCTCTAAGCCATGACATGGTCAACTTCTCTAGTACAGATTAGCTGGTAAGGGAGGGTGGAGGGAGGTGGTGCTGGTGGAAAGAGGCAACGCTGTCACTGGGAAAGGTAGGAGCATTCCTCCTCAGTGCTTTTCCAGCCATCCTACCTTGGCTCCTAGTGATTTTGGCATTCTTACCTAAATGGTCACAAGGGGTTTAATGCATTTTTGATTTTGTCATGTATTATTTCTAAAAGTTTGGAAAATTAGCACTGTATCTAACCAAATAATCATACCCCCCCTTCTCCCCACATGAGCTATTTTGAAGGAGCATCTTCTGACTTTTTGTACAGTAAACCTAGGTGTCTATGAGCTTTATTTGCACCATGAACTTCTTTGAAAATCTGATTTAAAAAAACCTATTACTAACTCCCCAGAAAATTATACATATATACAATTTGATTTCAGAATTTATGGACTTCTTATAGTTTTTGTCTCAAGCCTGCTAGTGACCAAAATAATTGGTTTTTCAAAAATTACACAGGTTTAGATGGAATAGTTTTATTTAGCAAAAACTTGCTAATTCAGATAATCTTCTATTCCATGTATCCTAGACTACAGTTTGCAAGTCACAAGTGTAAAAGAGTTGGTTAGGGACTTGACACTGAACAGAGACAAAATTCAGTGGAAGAACTACAGTGTCCAATTGAAAAGGAAAGACATTTAAATACTAGTCAATGAACCAGAATAAAAGACTTTATTGTATTCCATACATTCACAGGTCACTTCCAGGTTTAGTTAACAACACTGCAATGCTATGAGGCTGTGCACTCATTTTGCTTAGACCACATGGTACGTCTGTAGCCCTCTCCTCCTCTCTTGGCCTAAACATGTACCACAATACCATTTGTAAGTGCGGCTGAAAACCAATAGTGATTTCATTTGACTATTTTCTAGCTGGGGTATAGGTTCGCCCCTACTTTCTCAGAATCTTAAAGTATTGTCTTTTCAATTACATTATAAAAGAGATCAGCAAACAGACCACTGTAGGGTGTAGGGCTCCTTCTCTCACAATTTTCTTCTCATCTTGACTACTAGCCCTTACATACACTTCCTTAGTGTGAGAAGAGTACCTTCAACTACCAAATTTCTGTACAGACCAGCTACACATGGCGTGGCCTGGAAACCACAGCTTTTGCTTCTTTGGCCGTAGTGCATCCCTCACCTCAAGCACCGGCCTCAGAAATGTAGGTACTTGGTTCTCACAGGGTGTGCGTGATTGGCACAAATCTATCTGCCCCACAGAAAAAGCTTCTAAAAACCCTTGCATGATCTGTAGGGAGCAGGGTCGATTTCGTGCGTGTGGCCACCTTAGCCTCAAGAGATGAGTGAACACCAGGCTCCACTGCCCTGTGCTCCAGGGGACTTGACCACAACAGTGTTAGTGCTTGTCCTCTTGGGTTACAGATGCTCACTTGATTCTTTGAAGCTGAAGGAGGCTGACACATGTAACCTCCCTCATGCAAATTACTGTTCCCATCTCCACAAATTCACTTTGAAAAGTTCACCACCCCTTTACTGAAATATATAAAGTGCAACCTTGTGTTTTCACACTATCAGGCACTGAAAAGCAAGAGGCTTTTAATTTTTTCTTCTTTTTATGAAATATATTTTCTCTACTCCTGGTATTTGTAATATGCCTGCAATTAGAAGCAGCAACAATTAAAAGCAAAACAAGCAAACAAAAATAAAAGAGGGCAGAAGGCACAGAATGAGGAGCAGGTGTGAGAGGAATTTTACCATTTACTTTTACAGGAACACTAAACCAAATCAAACCAAACCAAATGCCGGAAGTCCATTTTGTTTATAAGTCTGCCTCCTTTGCTAGACAGGGAGTCAGTCCTTGAAAGCAGAAATCCTATTTATCAATCCCTCTATCCCAAGTACGCAGGCCTGTATCAGAATCAAATAGCTGTTACGTTACATTAGAAAATCCAAGTGATGCGAAAGACAATTCAACACAAATGCTTCAACTTTCCTCTGAGACCACCAATTTCACCAATGCAAACTCTGAACAGTAACTCATTCAAATTTAGCAGACTGCTACATATTTTACATGGAATAAAAATTAGCCAGAAAAATACCTTAGAAAAGACTTTTGCCCCCCCTGTGGATTCCATGAGACTTTAAGACATTTATGGGATTCTCAATCATTATATGCAAACTGCAGAGCCAACATCTGCTAACACTACTTTCTAATTATATCTTTCTTAAAAGGAAAAAAGGATAAAAATCTAATTTTGAAATATTGACAGCATCCCCAAAAGTTAAATATCAACATCTTTTCATTTCTCTTATGGGAACTTTACTATAAATATACCTTATATAGAAATGAGATAATTATTCAATACACATTACAAAATGTTAGATTTAAAGAAAACAAATCTATTTTTAACCCAGATTCTCCATCCCCAAATGTTTAATAACTAAAATAACACAACAGAATGAACAAATGTTTTATTGGCATGTTCATTGTTGTAAACAGCATCTGGCATGAAAAAAGTTTTACCAAAACCTTTTTATTTTTATAAATTAGATGGCATTTCCAAAATTTATGTAGAATGTGTTCATTGAGTAGTTTTATTTAGCAAAGCAGAAACTTGCTGATCATAATAGACTTTGCAATGAAATCATGTTGACTGCAATAGTCTGTACCATGGCCTGATCTTACGATGTTAACACATTTCCCCAAAGTTAAACTACATGTAACTATAAATCAACTCCAAAAATTAAAGTGGACTTACAAGAGCACTAGAAGATTCAAACTTGAAGTAAATCTTCAAAAATAAATGTACAAAGAGGAAAAAAAACCGAAGCCACTGAACAGAAAAACCTCATTAACAAGGGCAAATACAATCCTCCAGGACCCAGCACTGAGAAACCTCACTGAGGATTACATTTACATAGATAACTATACTTTTCAATGTACACAAATGTACGTGATGAATGATATGTGAAAAGACTAACCATGGGAAAATAGTTGAACTGCTATTAGGATAACTCAGTAGGATCAATTTTATTTACATGCTGAATGAACGAGTGAAACATATTTTCTACATCCATAACTTAAGTACAATCAGTTATAATTACAATACTGCAGCAAACTGAGCTGCCACCTGCTGGGAGTGGTCTAAGGGAAACGTTTTGATGTTCCAGAATAATGTTCTTAATACTCTGCAAAAAATGAAACAAAATAAAAAACACAACTTCACACTTCTTTACTGGGTTACGGCTGGTTCTGAAAATTTCTTTCTTCAGCTCCTAATTTTGCTGCTTTCCAAGAGTCAACACACGTGGCATTTACTTACGAATTGTCAATGAGGTAATGTGTGTATCAGTGAAATAAACAGAAAATTCATTCATTCATGGCCTTTGCACAGCTTTTATTATTAAGCTATGAGCATCCTGTTTGAGGCTAGTTTTACTAGCTGGTAGGTGCACATTTGTCCACAATAAAAGTTTACTCATTCCCATTCCCCCTTTGCTAGTTGCAGGTTTTAATTTTTTTTTTTTGCACATCCCTTTTTGCTTTACAGTACATTTGACTATAGTGCACAACATGATTCCAAGTCAAAACAGTGGCCCACTGGGCACTGAGCTTCTGATTGGTGAAGGGCAGTCCAATCAGTGCTGGTGTCACTGGGTTACCCCTAACCATGTCCGGCCATAATGGCACTACACAGTAGTAGTGAACCATCTAATTAAAACCAAAAATCCCCCAGGGAAAATGCTACACTAGCAGAGTCAGTCTTGAGTCAGATCTTTATTTGGTGCTCCATCCAGATATATTTTTAGTGCTTTCTCTTTACGAGGTGAGTACGTAACACGATGCCCAGTCTTCTGGAGTCGACTGCTTTCTTTTTTCATCAGTTCATTTCTTTGCTCATCTGTCAACTCCATTAATTCTTCCGTTTTATCCCTACATTTAAAATATTGATCTCATATTAGACCAGTATAGCCATCTGCCTCTATTAATTTGTGCTTCAATGCCATAATGTTCGTCAGCAAGATAATGAAATCTGATTGTCATTACTGAAGTTAAATGATCTCATAAACTAGGATGCTTTAGATTTCTAATGTGTTTATTATAGTAACGTAACACTCATTTCTAAAAATACCATAGAATAATTTCCATGTTATTATTAGTGGTAATAATAACTATTATTTATTGAACATCTATTGTATGACAGGAACTCTGCCAGTTATTTCAAATAACTGTTGGCTCTAATTCTCATAAAATCCTGCAAGGTAAACATCATTTTCTCCATTTTACAGAGGAGTTAGGGAAATAACAAAGCTACATCTGAACTCAGGTCTGACACGTTCCAATGACTATTCTTTTTGCGCTATATCTGTTTTGTCCAGTATGACAGTCACTAGCCACCTGTGCCTACTGAGCACGTGTAATGTGTCTGCTCCAAACTGAGATGTGCTGTAAGTGTAAAACAAACAACCAAACCCATTGCTACTGAGTCGATTCTGACTCATAGCGACCCTATAGGACAGAGTAGCACTGCCCCATAGGGTTTCCAAGGCTGTAATCTTTACAGAAGCAGACTGCCACAACTTTCTCTCATGGAGCAACTGGTAAGTTTGAACCGCCGATCTTTTGGTTAGCAGCCAAGCGCTTAACCACTGCGCCACAAGGGCTCCTTAAGTGTAAAAGACATACCATACTTTTTAAGACTTAGTACAAGTAAAAGAATGTAAAATGTAAAATATACAAACCTTGACAACTATAGTATTTTTTTATTTTCCACATCTTTGCCAGTTTAAGAAGTGAAAATAATATTATAGTTTTAATTTGTATTTCTAAAATCACTAATGATTTTTTTATATTGATTACATGTTGTAATGATAATATTCTGGATGTACTGGGTTAAATAAAACATTATTAATATTACTTTCACCTGCTTCTTTTCACTTTTAAAAAATGTGGCTACAAGACAATTTCAAAGTACGTGTGTGGCTCGCATTTCTACTGGTCAGTGTTGCTCTATATTATGTCAATAATAATAAAGATATTTATGGAAAATAAGATATTTATGCACACCAAAAATGTATCACTAGAAGCAACAAAAATGTTGTGAATGTTACCTATAAAATATGACTGCACCATCATCACAGATATAAAGAGGCCAGACATTCAGGGTAGAAACTTTAGGATTCCAGTCCAAATCCTGATGAATATCAAGAACAGAAATATCGCAGGGAAAAGTTCCTCTACCCTAAGGAGCAAATAATTAATTAAATTATGAATAGTTAAATCATGCCATCAGACATATTTACTGTGCACTAGTACACAGACGTAAACGTTCTCAGGGTTTTACCTTGGCAAATTCAATATCTTCCAAAGGAATCCCACTGATTTCACTAAGCTGTAAAGGAAAACATTTTATTATTAATTCATTTAAAAAAGAATTTGCTTAGAAAATTTATTTTCCTTTTCTCCCACACAGAAAAATCTTGATTTTTTCCCCCTAAAAATAATATATGATACAAAAAATTAGAAGAAAAAAGCAGAAAGTGGCATTCTCTACTACCTATCCCCACCCTGCAAATAACCATGTCCCAGAAATGGCAATTTATTATATTCCTTTCAGACCTTTTCCTATTATATACAAACTACATAGACACATTTTATTTGTATTTCCAAATACATAAAAGTACATTTATAAAACATCTCTGCATAATAATTTTATATAGTCTATATGTAAAAATAGGATACAAAGTAACCTCATTCTCTTTCATAGCTGTATAATATACCATTTTATTTCCTATTGATGGGTATTTAGGTTTTTTTGCCAATTTTCTGCAGTTACAAACAATGCTATACCATATACCTCCATAAATACCCTTGCATATTTCTGCAAATATTTCTATAGGTTGAATTCCTAGATGTGGAACTGAACATCTGAAACATTGATAAACAGTGCCAAACTGAACCCTGAAAACAATGTTACCCATTTAAACACTTATCAAAGGTATATACTGCCTGCTTCCCCCAAACCTTGACAACTATAGTATTTTTTTATTTTCCACATCTTTGCCAGTTTAAGAAGTGAAAATAATATTATAGTTTTAATTTGTATTTCTTCTATGAAATGCCTTTTTATGTTCTTTGTCCATTTTTAAATTAGTTACTCTTTTTCTTATGAATGTAGTGGCTCCTTATAAATTACAGATATTATGTTTCATACATGTTTCCAATATTGTTTCCCCTAGTTTCTTGCCTTTTAGCTTTGTTTATGGGTTGTTTTTGTAATTACTTTTTTTTGGCTGTGCAGAAGATTTAACTTTTACATGGTCTATCTTTTCATTTTTGGCTTCTGGTATTATGCTTACAAACATCTTACCTTCTCCAGAATTATGAAAATATTTTTGTATTTGGTGTAAAGTGGAAATATGTTTTTTTTCAAATATGTAGCCAACTGTCCTAATCCCACTGATAGAAGAATTTGCCCTTTCCCCAGAGATCTTTATAATTCCCATCTTTCTAATGCAAAGTCCCATATACACAGATCTTCATCTGGATTCTCTACTCAAGTCTACTTCATTTGGTTTTTTTAGACATATAGCAATTTACTCTAGTAACTACTAATCCTAATTTCTAAGGACAAAGCTGATCCAAGTAACAGATCTAAAGTTGATCCACTCCTGAATGACTGAAGCAAATTTTCAAAGCATCAGGAGCCCTAAGAAACAACTAGAATGTAGCACAAAGTGTGGCAGAGACAAAGAAAGAAAGGTCGCTGCATCAGTGTTTGACTCTCACTTCCTACACTGTCTCTTGTAGGGAAGAGAAATGTATTTCAAATAGGGAAAAATATATTTTAGCTAATTTTGTTTAAAATTAACTTACCTTCTCTCGCAATTCATCAACACTACTGCTTTCCAACACAACTTCCTGGAAGGGATCCAACCTCATCTCTGAAGGCCTCCATCGCCTTGACAAAACTGCAAGCTGTGACATGGACTTCATCTTCTCTACCCCTAAGAATATGCAAGATTAGGCCATCATCCTATTTCCTCCAAAGATTTTTAAGTTGACTTTTCCTATAGTGCTTGACTAAACAAAAAGATTTACTTAAAGTGTTATTCTTAAAAAGTTGGTAAAAAGGAAACAAATTATCCCAGAAAGTTTTTGAGAATGAAATATTTACTCTCTTCCATCCAGTTCTGGAAGACAGTTCTGGCAAGCTATCCTTCAGCCAGTGCTCCTGATTCCACTCCCTCCTGATTCCTACTGGACATTGCTCTACCAATTACTCTCTTCTTTGGATCTCCAATCTTTGCTTCTCTGCTGGCTACTACTTCACAATCTAAAAACACAGTCAATTCATTTTCACTCAAGCTATCATTAAACCAGTTGTTGTCGAGTTGATTTTGATTCAAATGACCCCATGTGTGCTTTGATTCTTCTTTTTTCATTTACTCCCAAACATACTGATTCTTCAAAACCCAGCTCAAATGTCACCTTTCTGTCTGGTGTACCCAGAGCAACTTGTACTGATTTGGTCACTTAGTTACCTATCACTTTAGATTAAGGATGACAGTTCTGTTTCTCCCATCAGACTGTGTGTAGCTGGAGGGCAGTCACTGGTTCTTATTCATTTACGTAGCACAAGTCTGGCAAATTACAGGTCAATAAATGTTCTTTACATTTAATCACATGACATTTCTCACTCAACTATTTTGCTGCTAAAATATATACTAAAATGAGACTGATGCAGGCATCCACCATTCAGTAACATTTCCTGGCTAATCTCTGCTAATACATACTCAATCCTTCCTTACAACGGTGACTTCTATGTCCTTCACGAGCTCTTTCTGGCTGCTGAGATACAGTGATATTGTCTAAGGGTCCCAGACACTCAGAGAAGGCATCAGAATGTGGAATACTTGCCTATATGCTATTTGACAGTGTCCTGGCTGTTTGCTGCCTCTCCAGTTACTTGTCAATTACTCAGAATTTCAGCCATTTAAACTGAATTAGACCTGAAATATTCTTGGTGAGGTGTTAGCACTATCAAACTCTCTAAAGCTATCATAATCTTATATAACAACACCCAGAACTTACAATACTTTAATTTCTATAGAAAAAAAAATTAACATCTTCCTAAGCAACAGCAAAAGCACAAAATATTATAGAACTGGTTATTTACCTTGATGTGGTCTCTCAAAAACCAACATTCCCCCCACGGTCTCCTCCAAAAAAATGGAATACTTTAAATATTCTACTATCGATACTTAAAACTGGGAAGTGTCACAAATATAAGTGCTTTCTTAGGTCATTGTTCTCAAAATCTCTGGCTAATTATCAATACTACGGCCTCAGGAAAAAAAATAAGCCATAACAAAAAAAAAAAAGAAACTAAATAAACATGGCTAAGAAAACATTAGCAGAATTAAGTTGCAATTTCCCTGTAAAGGGGAATTACTGTTCTGAAAATTAGAGAAAAAAAGAAATATTTAAAAGGAGAACAGAACCTGGAGAAAAGGAAAAAACTGAAAGACATGGGATGCACTCTCAAAAATAACTTGAGCTGTTGAGGGTAGGAATCATACCCATAGATTTCTTTATGCTTAATGAAATACAATTACACTACACTGTTAGATTCCTGGTAAATAATTTTTGATTTAAAAAAAAAGTATAGGCTTCTACTAGTTCTACAATCTACAAGAAAATTTTAAACTGCTATTTTCCCATAAAAATATTAATAATACCATCAAGAACTTCAAGGAAAACCTCCCAGTTGCTAGAAATATTAATATCTTCTTCATAAATATGATAATCCAAAAAGACAGTGCCAGGATTCTTCCATGTTTTTTTCCTTAGACGAAACCTACAAACACAAGATATTTTAAATTGTTATAATTTGAAATTCTTACCTTAAAAAACTGGCACTGTTACTATGCCAAGAAAAAATGAACTATGTTCAAATACAAAAGTCAAATGGTTATTCATTAAAATTTGGGGGAAAATGCACCAAATGCTCCCAATACTTCAAATTTAGTATCCTCCAGAGGAATTTCAAGTAGAAGTCTAATGCTTTTGCTTAGTCCTATCAAACTAATCTGCAGTGGCGGGGCCAAGATGGCGGGGTACTCAGACACTTCCTATGGTCCCTCTTACAATAAAGACCCAAAAAAACAAGTGAATCAATTATATATGACAATTTAGCAGCCCTGAACATCAAAGACAAAGTCGAGGAATCGGACTGAGCAGCAGGGGGAGGGAGAGATGGTTCAGAAGCGGCGAGGAGTTGCCAGACCTGACCTGGTGGGAACCAGTACCCTGCAGGCTGGATCGGCTGGTGCGAGTGGTAAGACCCGAGTGGTGGAGAATTGGCTCAAACCTCCATAAACAGCGAGAAATGGCACTCGATCAGCAAAAGATAAGTACAAGCGTCTAACCCACCACGTGGATCCAAAAAAAAAAAAACAAAACCCCTTTTGGGAAATACCTCTCCCCTAATTACCTGCTCCCTCCCTGTTCTGCTCTGGGTCCTGGTCTGGCTTCAAAGACTGCTGCGCTCCCTGGGCCAGAAGTAGCACCCGTCTTGTACCCTGAGCTATTCTCCCGGCTTTGGAGAGGGATCAAATTAACAAACAGGAAAAAATAATCTGCCAGCTCCCCTAAGCTGGGAAATCAGGGCAGGTACAGCCCCTTTGACTAGGCACAGGCATAAGGTGTCCACAGACTCTGAATGCCTTTCACTCCTGTGAAGAACTGTGTGGGCCCATTTCAACAGCATAGGCCCTCATTAGCAGAGTACAACAGGGTATATACCTGAAGCCTATTTTCATCTCTATCTGCTACAAGTGGGAGTCACAGATTTGTGACGTTTGACACTGCCCTGCCCAGTAAGCAGGGTCCTCACCTACCTACATCAAGGGCCTGAGGACTGGTGGCTCACCCACTCCATCGAACCACCCTCAACAGGGGTCCAGGAATAAGTGGTACCTCCAAGTCCTTACAGCCAACAGCACTGGGTGCCCATAGTCCAGCTACCTACATGCTCTAGAGAACAGGGACACGCCTTCCACCCAGACACTTAGGGGCAGCCATCAGTCCCCTGCCTTGCCCAGCGCATGACCCCCTACTGCAGCCGGATACCTGTGCCTACTCCAATCACCCCTGCCTATCTAGGACTGTAGGTGAGACCTTGCACCATACACTTGGTGACTGATGACCAGGACACCTGAGCTGAATCCACACAAGAAAAGTAAACGGACTCTTGGGTTCACATACCTAGTAACAGATCTAGCCACCTGCAGACAGGATGTGAGAGCTTCAAAGACGCCAATAATCAAACTAGCTCACATGACCAGCCTATTTGGGCATATCAAAACAAAACAGAACCAGAAGCTAGAACACAGTAAGCAAAAATAAAATAAATATAATAACTTAGTGATTGCTCACAAAACAGTAAATATCAAATCACATAAAGAGGCAGACCATGATGGCCTCAAAAAGCCACCAAAACAAAGAATCAAAAAAAACCTTCCAGCGGAAGAGAACTTCTTGGAATTACTGGAGGTAGAATTCCAAAGACTAATATACAGAACTCTTCAAGAAATGAGGAAGGAGATCATGTAAAATGCAGTACGAGCCAAGGAACACACACACAAAGCAACAGAGGAACTTCAGAAGGTTATTCAAGAGCATAATGACAAATTTAACAGGGTGCAAGAATCCACAGGGAGACAGGCAACAGAAATCCAAAAGATTAACAATAAAATTTCAGAATTAGACAACTCAATAGAAACAGGAGCAGAACTGAGGCAATGGAAGTCAGAATTAGTGAGATTGAAGATAAAGCACTTGGCACCAGCTTACTTGAGGAAAAATCATATAAAAGAATTAAAAAAGAAGAAACCCTAAGAATTATGTGGGACTCTATCAAGAGGAATAACCTATGAGTGACTGCAGTACCAGAACAGGGGGGAATAACAGAAAATACAGACAGAATTGTTGAAGATTTGTTGGCAGAAAACGTCCCTGATATCATGAAAGATGAGAAGATATCTATCCAAGATGCTCATCAAACCTCACATAAGGTAGATCCCAAAAGAAAGTCACCAAGACATATTATAATCAAACTCGCCAAAACCAAAGATAAAGAGAGAATTTTAAGAGCATCTAGGGATAAACGAAAAGTCATCTACAATGAAGAGCCAGTAAGACTAAGCTCTGACTACTCAGCAGAAATCATGCAGACAAGAAGGCAATAGGATGACATATATAAAGCCTTGAAGGACAAAAATTGCCAACCAAGAATTATATATCCAGCAAAACTGTCTCTCAAACATGATGGCGAAATTAGGGCATTTCCAGACAAACAGAAGTTTAGGGGATTTGTAAAAACCAAAACAAAATTACAGTTAATACTAAAGGGAGTCCTCTGGTTAGAAAATCAGTAACATCAGATAACAACCCAAGACTAGAACACAGGACCAGAGCAATCAGATAGCAACCCAGATATGGAAGTCACAAAAATAAAGCTAAAACACTGAAAAGAGGAAAACAGACGTCAATACATAAAAGACGACAATATTAAAACAAAAAAGGGGGACTAAAAAATGTAGTCACAGATCTTTCATATGGAAAGGAAGTCAAGGTGATATAAAGAAATAAAAGATTTGTTTAAACTTAGAAAAATAGGGGTAAATTTTAAGGTAATCGCAAAGGAAACTAACAATCCTATGCATCAAAATAAAAAACAAGAAAAACATAAAGACTCACCAAATACAAAATAAACAACAAGGAAAAAGATGAAAAGAAAATACATAAAGAAAAACAACTCAGCACAGCAAATTAAGTGGAACAAAGAAACTGTCAATAACACACAAGAGAAGACATCAAAATGACAGCACTAAACTCATACCTATCAATAATATGCTGAACGTAAATGGACTAAATGTACAAATAAAGAGACAGAGAGCGGCAGAATGGATAAAAAAGAACAATCTGTCTATATGCTGTCTACAAGAGACACACCTTACACTTAAAGACACAAAATAAAACTCAAAAGGATGGAAAAAAATATATCAAGCAAATAACACTTAAAAAGAGCAAGAGTGGCAATATAAATCTCTGACAAAATAGACTTTAAACCAAATCCACCAAAAGATAAGGAAAGACACTATATAATGATTCAAGGGTCAATATATTAGGAGGACATAACCATACCAAATATTAATGCACCTAATGGACAGGGCTCCAAAATACATAAACACTAACAGCATTGAAAAGAGAAACACACAGCTCCACAACAACAGGAGAAGACTTCAACACACCACTTTCAGTGAAGGTCAGAGCATCCCAACAGAAGCTCAATAAAGACACAGAAGATCTAAATGCTACAATCAAACAACTTGATCTCACAGACATATACAGAACACTCCACTCAACAGCAGTCACGTATACTTCTTCTCTAATGCACATAGAACATTCTTCAGAATAGACCACATTATTAGGCCACAAAGCAAGCCTTAACAGAATCCAAAACATCAAAATATTACAAAGCATCTTTTCTAACCATAAAGCCATAAAAACAGAAATCAATAACAGAAAAAGCAAGGAAAAAAAATCAAACACATGGAAACCGAATACCACCTTGCTCAAAAACTACTGGGTTACAGAAGAAATTAAGGATGGAATAAAGAACTTCACAGAATCAAATGAGAATGAAAACATATCCTACCAGAACCTTTGGGACACAGCAAAAGCAGTGTTCAGAGGTCAATTTATAGCAATAAATGCACATATCCAAAGAGAAGAAAGGGCCAAAATCAAAACATTAACCCTACAACTTGAACAAGTAGAAAGAGAGCAGCAAAGAAGCACTCGGGCACCAGAAGAAAGGAAATAATAAAAATTAGAGCAGAATTAATTGAAATAGAGAATAGAAAAACAATTGAAAGAGTTGACAAGACCAAAAGCTGGTTCTTTGAAAAGATCAACAAAATCGATAAAGCATTGGCCAAACTGTCAAAAGAAAAACAGGAGAGGAAGCAAATAACCCATGCAAGAAATGAGATGGGCAATATCACAACAAACCCAACTGAAATTAAAAGAATCATAATAGAATACTATGAAAAATTGTACTCCAGCAAATTTTAAAATCTAGAGGAAATGGACAAATTTCTAGAAATCCACTACCTACCTAAACTAACACAAACAGAGGCAGAACAACTAATTAACCTATAACAAAAGAAAAGATTGAAATGGTAATTAAAAAACTCCTAACAAAGAAAAAAAACCTGGCCCTGACAGCGTCACTGGAGAATTCTACCAAACTTTCAGAGAAGAGTTAACACCACTGCTATTAAAGGTATTTCAGAGCATAGAAAAGGAGGGAATACTCCCACACTCATTCTGTGAAGCCAGCATAACCCTGATACTAAAATCAGGTAAAGACACCACAAAAAAAGAAAATTACAGATCAATATCCCTCATGAACATTGACGCAAAAATCCTCAACAAAATTCTGGCCAATAGAATTCAACAACATATTAAAAAAATAATTCACCATGACCAAGTGGGATTCATTCCAGGTATGCAGGGATTGTTCAACATTAGAAAAACAATCAGTGTCATCCAACACATAAATAAAACAAAAGACAAGAACCATATGATCCTATTAATTGATGCAGAAAAGGTATTTGACAAAGGCCAACACTCATTCATGATAAAAACTCTCAACAAAATAGGAATAGAAGGGAAATCACTCAACATAATTAAGGGCATTTATACAAAGCCAATAGCCAACATCATCCTAAATGGAGAACAGGAACCAGACAAAGATGCCCTTTATGATGGTTAAGATTGTGTGTCAACTTGGCTGGGCCATGATTCTCCGTGTTTTAATGTAATCACTCCCATGATTGAATATACTGTGAGTAGCCA